AGAAATTAGTCAGGCGTGATGGTGCATGCCTGTAATCCCCAGCTACACAGGAGACTGAGGCATGAGAACTGCTTGAACCCAGAAGACAGAGTTTGCAATGAGTCAGGATTGCACCACTGCACACCAGCCTGGGCAACAGAGTGAGACTGTCTCATAATTAATTAATTACTTAATTAATAATAAAAACAAAATTTCTCCCCTTGTCCTTTTTTTTTTTTTTTTTTTTTTTTTTTTTTTTTTTTTTTTGTCAGGGTCTCTAAAGGCTGGAGTGCAGTGGTGCAATCACAGCTCACTGCAGCCTCGACCTCCCAGGCTCAAGTGATCCTCCTACCTCAGCCTCACATGTCACCACACCAGCTAATTTTTTTTTAAGTATAGGTGTTGGAGGGAAGTCTCACTGTGTTCCCCAGGCTGGTATCAAAGTCCTGGACTGAAGCCATCCTCCTACCTTAGCCTCCCAAAGTGCTGGGATTTCAGGCATAAGCCACCACTCCCATCCTCCTTGTCTTTCTGTAAGACATCATCCTATCATATGCTATAGAAACCTCCCAAATTGACACAAAAAAGCTGCTGGTGACATGCTGCTCCAGCAAAAAGGGGATCGGGGCTAAGAACATTGGTCTTAAGGGAGCCCAGGATACATGCAGAGGTAACAATCCAGGGCATTCAATTAACCAGACAGGTAGGAAGAGTCATTGAACCCCACTTGGCACATATGGAAGGGAAAAGTGGACTTGAGGCAGTGGTTTTGTCTTCAGATGCACAGTAGAATTTCTTGGGAGCATTTAAAAAACAATTCAGAGGCCAAGACCCCATCTTCAGATATTCTGATTCAGTTGATAGTTGGTCGGGGGTGGCAGGACCAGGCACCTAGAAGACAGAACTATAGAACTCGATTATCTCTAAAATGTCTGACAAATCTTATGTTCTAAGCTGAGAACATAGGATGAATGTGGGAAGGAACAAAGAGAACTAAAGAGACAGGCAATTGTTGCTCCAGGTGGCCCAGCTAAGCTAGGACAAGAACCAGTCTCCAAACCCAGACATCACCCCACGAGCTGGTGCCACCTGCAGAGACTATTTTTTTTCTCGTTCTCCTCAGGTGAACAGAACAACCACATATCATCAGCTCCAGAGGAAGGCCCACGTGTGGATACCTGCACAGATGAGCACCAGGAAGCAAAGATGGAGCTAGGAACCTCTAGCCATGCTGCCAATAGCTGGTGGGTGCAAAATCAACCACTGTCTCATCATATGTTCTGTATGTCCGGCCATACTTGAGTTCCCACAGTCCGAATCCCGACAGCTTCACCTGCAGCCGACCATTCACCAGGCAGTTGGAAGGTTTCAGGTTGCCGTGGGAGCCCAGGAAGCTCCTATGGAGGAACAGCATGCCCTGCAAGGGTGAAAATGAGCAAATGAGGGAGACCGGGTGCTGGTAACACTGCTGGAAGGAACCGAGGCAGAGAGACAGATGGGCAGAAACACAGATAGAGAGGCCTGGGCAGGGGATGTGCCCATCTCTGTGTTCATTTGTTCAGGAGCCACCAGCATAGCCCCTTGTCCCTGTAGTCAACTGGGGCTGGGACACCCAAAATGGAGAAAACTATTTCCAGCTCCTTTGTGTGAAGCCAAGAAGGCCAAGCCAGCTTAAAATAAATACATCCTAGTGATCAGGCTAGGACGAGTAAATCTGGAGTGTTAAATTGCTCCCAAGAAGTCAGGACCAGAGCTGGGATACAAACCCAGGTGAGACTGGGTTAGAAGCCTTGCTTCTAAACCACTAGATTCTCCTGTTCCCTGTGCCCTGGGTGATGGGAGAGAAAAAGGGGGAGGAGGGAAGAGGGAGGAAGGAGGGTCAAAGCACATACTCCCCCTGCACAACTACACAACCCCAATGTGTAATTACACAATTACACAACCTAGCTGAGAAGGGGCAGTGAAGTCATGTGTGGGAGGGGCTATGAGGAGGTCCTGGAGAGGAATGGAGTAGGGGGGA